CTGAGGGAAATATGTACTTTCGTATGTGAGATACCTATTTTTAGAATACAGCTGTAGTTCATAAATATCATCAGTGTTACAAAATGATTCGTACCTGCACTGTCAATCATCAGTGTTACTTGCTTTTAAAATCTGTTTTGATCAGATTTTGCAGTGGAAATGTTTGTGGGAGCTATAGGTTTCAACAGGAGATGCAATATGACCAGGGTGTTTTTGTTTTCAAAGTTTATGCCATGCAGTTCCTTATGTGGCTGCTCTTACGATATAACAGCAAGCTGGCTAAAAGCATATCATTGTTCTTAAATCCTTACCCATTCATTCAAAATAAATTACTTAAATCTGTGGTTATACATTTGTATCTCAGGAATTATTTTTATCCAAAACTTTGCATAAATGATATTTGTATGTAGTATGTTACTTTGGTTTCTGAGATGCACTAATTTCTAGTAAATAGTTCATAAACATCACCAGTGTTTCAAAATCATTCCTATCTGCACCATCAATCATCAGTGTTGTTTCCTTTTAAAATCAATGTGTTTTGATCAGATTTTTGTAGTGGGAATTTTTTTGGAGATTTCAACAGGAGATGCAGGTATGACCAGGCTGTTTTTTCAAAGTTTATGCCATGCATTTTCTCATGTGGCCACCCTTTTGATGTAACAACAAGGGGGTTAAAAGCATTCCATTGTTTTTAATCCTTACCCATTCATTCAAAAATTATCCTGACTATTATTTTCATCATGAGCTAACTTAAATCTGTGGTTATCTCAAGAATATTATTTTTATCCACAAATTTGCATAATGTTATTTGTGTTTATATTTTACTTTTTCCCAGATGTACTTCAGGAATTTTGGGGTAGGTACATGTATGTATGTACCACTGGGACCCTAGAACCCTTAGCCTATACCAGAGCTAGTTCAAGTGAATTTTTTCTACTCTATACTTGACTAAATTCCCCAATGCCCCCTATTTGAGAGTAGCTGTTTTCCAGAAAGTAAAGAGGTCACTGGCACATTCCAGCCAAAACAAAACTGATTCATTCGTAAATCATCCTGACTACTTCATCATAATCTAACTGATTACCTGTGCATGGCTATCCCAATTTACTCTTACCCACAAATTTGCGTAAATTATGTTATTTGTTCATATATATTACTTTGGTTTGTTAGATACCTATTTCTAGTAAATAGTTCATAAACATTACCAGTGTTACAAAATAATTCGTACCTGCACCGTCGATCATCAGTGTTATTTGCCTTTAAAATCTGTTTCGATCAGATTTTTGTAGTTTCATTGTTAGTTATGGGAGGTTTCGACAGGAGATATGCCAAGAGTTTTCTATATGTGGCCACCATCATGATATCACAAAAAGCTGAAAAAAACATTCCAATTTGTTTTCAAATCCTTACATATTTAATAGACAGATGTGGTGTCTTGTTTCACAGCTATTTGAAAGCAGGGGAAATTTTTCATTTTGGTAGCAATCTCTTGCACGTAAGCTTTATTGTACTATCCATGCCGACAGTACCTTCTTGAGTTTACCCAGTCTTCACCAGGCGTGTTCCTTGCCCTGGAGGGGGAGGTGGGGGACTTCCTTATTTGGCCTATAAGTGTAAGTGCCGCTTTACAAGGTATGGTTTTCAAGGTCTTGAGTCCTAAAAAGGATATACAATTTTTACTGTTTTGAATAGGATGTTGTTTTGGACTGAAAGCCTTTAAAAGAGTGTGAAGGCTTGCAATGGGCAGTTTTATCCAGTGTTTTATTTTATACCCATCAAAACTTTAACAAGAAAACAGAATTGTTTAGCCAGTACTTTCCTAATGCTACACACACGTGTTAAAAGGTTACTATAATAATAACCTTTTAACACGTGTGTGTAGCATTAGGAAAGTACTGGCTAGACAATTCTGTTTTCTTGTTAAAGTGATTAATAATCAGTTAGAAAACTTAACAACTATCAATAGTATGCTAAATTTGCTTTGGTGGCCATTGTAGAGACATGGCCATGCAGTATTGTGGGGGAGATTGACTGACTTGTGAGACACCATTTTTGGGGAATAGAACATGTTTGGCTATATAAAATGCTTTTTCTAGCATCTTGACAAGCACCACCATGAAAAGAAACTGAAAAGCAGACAACAAACAAAATATTGGGCCACCACTGCTATGAAAAAAGGTGGTCATTAGTGGAGGTTTGACTATGGTGGAAATTTCCTTTAAGTCAATCTGATAGGAAATAGGGATTTCAGATAAATTATACCTTCAATGAGTTTATAAAAAATTCTTCCTCAAACTATACCCCCCACCCCCCACCCCAAAGAATGTCGGGATCCTGAATACGATGTAGTGGATCGTTTGAGAGACACCGTCACTACCTCAGTGCCACAATCGTAGAATTGACTTGGCTCTTTATTCATAGATTCATTACATTGACTTTTATGGCACGTGGTGGAAAACTACAACAAGATAGAAGACTACAATAAAAATACAGCTTGAATTTGAAAACTAAATTAAAAGGAATAAAGCATTGAAATCACAATCACTTACGCTATCCAACTCCTAGCAATGCATAAAAGAAACGATAAAATAAACAGAAAAGGCTACTCCAACAGATGAAAGGCTACTCCAACAAAAGATGAACTCCACATGGACCTCTTAACTCCAAGAGCCTAATTTAAGCTATCCTGTTACATTAAACAGTCAGTGAATCAACAATAATTAACTCAAAGGGAAGTGTGCACGACTCGCGTAACAAAGTAAACATAAAGAATGTTAAATGTATAGTAAGTTTTATGATTCAGTCTCTCTAATTCTATCAATAGTTCTAAACTTTTTGGTTTGCAGCCATGCTAACCAGCAGGCCAATGGCCATATTGGTGGTCATTACAATAAATAAATACCTTTTTACTAGGGAGGTCAATTTCGATGATACATGACATAAAATGACGTATAATTAATTGGTTTGTATTGGTGATCATCGATAGGATAGTTTTGGTCAAGCAGTCAAAAAAGGTTTAAACCAAGCTAGCAAAAATAATAGAGCTCTGAAATGTTGTTAATATCTCGGTTTAATAATTGTTCATTCAAAATATTTTTTTGTTTCTACCGAGCTAAAAATCCCCTGGGTAATTCTTCATAACCAGCTACCATTGACCAGTTTAGCAAGACATACATGCCAATATCAGAACAGTTGAAACCACTATTGTACTTTGAGAAAAAGGAAAAGCAGGAGCACGATAGTTCAACTGCTTCGGTAGAGAAATTGAAAATGGTAGAGAATCAGTCTCAAATTTTATGTAGGACAAATAAGCAAACTACTGCCTAAAACAAATAGGACTGCTATGAAATGCTATTTGAAGAATATCATTCTGTAATCTAGACTAAACATCCTTTTATGTTTTGAAACTGCCAAAGAACACTAAAATGTATTGTATTATGAACATGAAAGCAGCAACTGGCATATTTTATGTATTTTTAGGTTTTACCTTGGAAACAATTTTGAGTGAATATTTTGAGTGTCTTTAGTAAGAATTCAGCTTTCCAGTGCGCTCAATCTGCATAACACTTAGTAAAACAGTGACTCCAAACTAAATTCAAATGGACGATATGAAACTCCATAGTAACTTTCACTATTAGAAAACCAAAGGTGCCAAGAAAAAGACTAACTTTTGTCCAACATTATTCACTTTATCAAAGTGACGTTGTCTATTTGTAAATGATTTTCACTTAAAGAAAGAAAGGAGGGTTCACAGTAAAAAAAGCTGAGTAAGGCTAACTCAAAATAATGAGTAAATCGTTGCATCCATAGTGACCCATTATAGTGAGTTAACTCTAGCAGAAATATTGAGTTACTATTACTCGTTGGTAAGAGTAACTTTACTCAGAAAGAGAGTAACTTTACTCAGAATGAGTAAAGTCGACTCACAAGTGTGAGTTAAAATACTCAGTTGCTGGGTAGAACTAACTCAAAAGTAGGGGTAAAATTACTCAAGACAAATGCATCCATGGTGACTCTTTATTTTGAGTAAAATGCTCCTTTACTCTTAATTTGAGTAAAATTTACTCTAAATTTTGAGTTCAGTTAAATTTACTCTGACAACGAGTTAAAATATTACTCAAGGAACTGAGTAAAATAGACGGCTATAATATTACGCTCTATTTTGAGTAAAATTTACTCTAAATTTTGAGTTAAGGTTAATTTACTCTGACAACGAGTTAAAATATTACTCAAGGAACTGAGTAAAATAGGAGGCTATAATTACGATCTATTTTGAGTAACAGAAAACTCAGTTTAAACAATTTGAACCGCACAATCTTCTACAATAGTGCTGTAAATCATCAGGGGTAGGAGGATGCATGCATTTTTCTAACTCAATTTTCACTGTACAACATCAGTTATGAAACAAACATTAGACAATGAATACTGCACACTGCAGAAATTCAAGAAAATCAATCTTTGATTTACTGGACCACTTAATTTTGAAGATAGTTATACTGCATTAACAGTTCATGTTACAAAGTGCACAGTCTTAATCATTGCAAACTGGAAAATACTCTCCCACACTGATAAGAAAACAAATCATTCCATACGGTTTCCACTAAATCGAATAGCCATTTCAGTGGAAAAATAGAAATGTATCTGATTAAAAAAAAGTGATGCTTAATAGACATCAATCACTTTTACAACTTGATCATGTTATTGAATTAATTTTTGAACTTCTTATTTGCAAAGAAAAAGAAAATGCACCTGGTTGACGCTATAACACTTTGGTTTTCCTAATCACTGTCTGCTGGATAAAATATTAAGTTACAGAAAAGTCAAAGGGAGGTATACCCATTGTTCCTTTAGAGTGACATGGCACTAACTGGAGTAAATACTGTATATAATGATATAGACCTAATCAGAATTGTATTAAAGTATTGAGATTACTGAACATTCAGGATCCTCTTTGTCCTATTTTATGTAAGAACCTGTCGAGGGTGGGAAAATGCAGGTTCTTAATTGGCGGGTTTTACTATATTCGCCTGTAATTCGTGAAAGGAATTTACAAAGGACATTAGGGAAGAGGGAAGCTTTTTGCAATCAGAAATGTGCAATATGCATTTTTGAATATAGGAATAAAAATTTGCTAGTCCAGGAGGATAATTATACATAAAAACATAGTAAGTGGCCAGAAGTGCAAGAGCTGCTTCAACCAGTGAAACGTCAAAGCTGCAGATTATTTGTTTGTCCGCAGCAATGTAAATTTTTCCAGGCGATGCCAGAGTTCCCATAAATATTAAAAATGGGAATGCGTTGTCCTGGCTCTCAGCAATACTTCCTGGATTTGTCTCTTCCTGTAAAAAAAAAAAAAGACATTTAAGCACTTTAAAATATTAAAATATTTTTTATAACTAGCTTGAAGGTGTTCGATATGTCAAATCAAAGATAATAATATAATGATCCTGGCAAGAGCAAATTGCAGACCAACAACATAAGCCTAGTGAATAAATGATATTTCTATTATTATCCGCTGAAACATAGCTGGTCGCTATTTTTAATATCAAATGACAATACTGCCACGGCACTGCATATTATGTGTCAAGACCTAGTCTTACAAGAAGCCTATACTTATTTAATTACCCTTCTCTGGTCTACTAGATTAGTGGCCACAAGGACCAAGGAGTAAAAAAAGGAAAAAATTCAGAAACACACACACATACATGTACTTGTACTACCACACGCTCTTCTCTTTAACTGGTAAGGCAAGCAACTGTCAGACATACTCAACATGCTGTTCACCCCCATAGTGTGTCTTTTTGTTCAATTTTAGTCCTGATTGTCATACCCATAGTAAGCTAAGGGCCTGTTTACGTGGAGGTGGGGGCCCCATAGGTGAGTTAACATGGGGCAGGTCACCCCATCTATTATGTAAACTTGATCAAATTAAAATCAGACATGATATGTACAGGGCGTTGACTGACTAAGCAGGTTGCCTCACCTACCAGGGGTCCCCCACCTCCACTTAAACAGGCTCTAAGTCAGAAATATTAAACTTTTTAAACCTATATTAATTTTTTAAGGAGCGATCACAAAACTGCAAAGTGAGGACACTTGTTTCCAAAACAAAAAATAACAACTATCCTTTTTTGAAGAACTTGCATTAAAAAAATGTATAAAACTTACCAAGACAAATTGCACAAAGTCTTTATGTCTGCAAGCGCCAGCCTTTGTCTGTAGTAACAAAGGCAACACTGCCATTGCAACCTCTGCTTGTTCACCTAACGTAAGATTTTTTTAAACAGCATAAAGGTGAATGTCTTGTCTTTTTAAGCTGCATGTGTGCACCACATAAATAATATAATAAAAACTCAATCATTAGTAGATTGAAGATGCTATAGCCTCATGTAGCGTCCGCTTAATACAGGGTGTCCGCCTAATACTGGTTTCAATATATAACGTCATATGAGAAGTCAAATGCCATTCAAATGAACAGTGGAAGCGACATTTATAATACTCCTAGGGATTATGACGATAGAAGTTTGCATTAATTTCTTTATCAAAGTGAACCAATTGATCATAGTACCATAAACATGGATTGCAACTCAAATTTGAAGAAATCAGATGAGTGAAACAGGCTCTATACAAACAAAACGAAATAGAAAACAATCCTGTACTGTGAAACTAATCAAATAAGTTCGTCAAGTCACGTGTTTTAATGTAAAGATCGGAAAATTTGTGGGTGGCAATTCGAGGCAATCTTTCGCATTTCCGGTGTCTAGCATGTTGGGTGGTGGAATTTAATTAAAAGTGTCCATTTCAATTACAGGTTGGCAACAATAGAAATGACCATTTCAGGTACTTTGCAGGTGTCTGCGTCCGCTTAATAAAGGTGTCCGCTTCATAAAGGTTTCATTTAAAGTAAATAAGGCAAATAAATTTGGAGACTTCCGCTACTGTCCGCTTAATAGAGGGTGTCCACTTAATACGGTGTCCACTTAATACAGGTTTCACTGTATTGTTATATATGTAGCTAAGCTACCTGTATGAATAATTGGTTCCTTTCCTACACTGTACCTATGATTGTGCTGAAGAATTTTTGCATCTTATAATACGGGCTAAATGGGATTACAGAGTAAAAAGAAAAAAAAAAAATTTACAATGTTTTAATTTAGTACGCACCTAAATGACTCAACTTTATATTCTAGCTGGCAGACCAAGAATTAATTGGCATATACATTATTGTAACACAGATTACCTTGCCATGAACATTCATAGAATTCTATTGTCTCCTTCTTTCAGATATTTTGTATTTATATTAATGGTTAATTAATAAGGTACACATGTATGTTTCTTGAAAGTCCTTTGTTTTGTGCCCAATTTACTATAGGCCATAGGTCAACTGTTGGTGAGTCAGGACTGGATAATATGTTGCAAGAAGTGGATCCCTTGATTACAGAAGGAAGGATGATAACCAGGTATGGAAAAATAGGACTTTTGGCGGGAAATCGCAGCGGTCGGACGTGTATTCATCGTGTCTGCCTAACATTGCCAAAGATGACCCCTCTCTGGCACCTACTCCTATGAAAATACACTATCTGGCTCCCTGACGATGTAATCTACCTTCTTCAATGTAAATGCCTCCCAGAAAGAATAAAAGAGGTGATCGTGGCTCAACCGAAGACGAACCAAGAAATCTGAAGAAATCCAACATGGCGGCCGAGGAAAACATTGATGTTGAAGAATCGATTGAAGCGGGCAAGGAACAAGAAGAGCCTAGCCTTCTTGAAATCAAGGCTCTACTGGTCGACATACAAATCCAAATAGCTGCAGTTCTTAGCGAAAATCGAACGCTGAAGAAGGAAATCGAAGAATTAAAAGAATCTGCCAACTTCTACGAGAAGGAGCTTAAAGATTTGAAAGAGTCCTTGCAAAAGACCAAGGACGAATACAAAGAATTAAAACACATGCTAGCCTCAACAAGGAACGAGCTTAAAACAACAAAGGAGAATCTAGAAAAGCAAAAAGAAGAATCCGATCGACTGTGGGAACACCATGATGATTTGGAACAATACACTCGGAAGAACTCGCTGGAAATCCATGGAATTCCAGAAGATGCGTATCCCAGTACGGAGGCCGCGGTCATCAAGGTTGCTGAAGCCCTAAATATCACCATAGAGCCTGAAGAAATAGAGATTTCACACAAGCTGAATCGGGGCAAATCCATTATAGTGAAATTTTGCAATCATAAAGTGAAATCGAAACTTTACAAAGAACGCACCAAACTAAAGGATGTCAAAATCAAAGATCTATTTCCCAGCTACCCTTCAAATGCACAGGAACGACAACGTATTTTTATAAACGAGAACCTCACGGCTTATAGGCGTAGAATCATGAAAGAAGCGAACAAGAGAAGACAAGAGGGTACTCTACTCAGTGTTTGGTCTTTGGATGGTAAGATTTTTGTTAAGACATCACCCTATGGCTCCCCTGTTAGAATTTTTTCCGAAGAGGACTTAGATCAATTATAAACTGAACAGGCAAAATAATCTACGTTAAGTCTGGAGAGGGACGTCTTATCAACCATTCAAATTTCTCGCTGCCAAAGTAATTTAATTTTACTAACTACAAATTTGTCTATGCTCTGTTTTTTGTTTTTTTTGCGCTACTCTTTTTATTTATTCAAAGTGTTATTTTGTTTAATTTACCTTTTGTGATCATTTGCTTCAGTCTAATATTATATGCACGTTTTAGTCTTCATTATTTGTTTAAAATATCGAGTACCTTTTGCATCAATCATTTTACACCTAATAGAAAGAATGCAAATCCTTTATTGAGGCGCACATGTTTTTTTCCCGTCGAGACAACGTTTATTACAAAAGACTTGAACAAATCGTGACTTTGAAAATAACTTCATTGAATGTCAGGGGACTTAGGGATGACGCTAAAAGAAGAGAAGTATTTAATTGGCTTCGCGCCAAAAGGCCATCAATATGCATGCTCCAAGAAGTACACTGTATAGAAAAAACAAATCACTTGTGGAAAGCAGAATGGGGCTATCAAGCTTACTTCACCTCTTTTGAAAGCAACAAAGCAGGGGTATGTATTCTTTTTAACAATAATTTTAACCTTCAGCTCCAAAGACTTTACACCGACCCTGCAGGAGATTTATTATCTGTGACTTAAAAGCTAACGAAAAGCTTTTGACCCTCGCTAACATCTATGCTCCCAACGAGGATAAACCTTCATTCTTTCAAAACTTTTACGATCATCTTTTAAATTTTAAATGTGAAGACATAATAATTGGCGGTGACTTCAACCTTGTTCTTAACATCGAAAATGACAAAAAAGGTGGCATTGCCAAAACTCACCAAAATAGCTTGAAGACCGTTCAAGAAATTTCAGAGAACCTAGATCTTCTCGATGTCTGGAGAATTCACAATCCAGATGACAAAAGGTACACTTGGAGACAACGACAACCTAAGGTTTACTGTAGACTTGATTTCTTTTTAATAAGCCAAAGCGTTATTGGAACAACTGTGAAGGCCTGCTAACAGAAAGGGAATGCCTTGCAGCCCTGAAAACCATGGAACAGGGAAAAACCCCTGGATCTGATGGGCTACCTGCAGAATTTTATAGAGTATTTTGGACAAACATATCAAACTTATTGATTAACGCTCTTAATTATGCGCACGAAACGAGTCAGCTTTCCATCACACAAAGAAGAGGAGTAATCAAACTCATTCCCAAGAAAGACGCTGAGCCGTATTTCATTAAAAACTGGAGTCCGCTTACTCTTCTCAACTGCGACTACAAAATTGCAGCAAAGGCTGTGGCTAACAGGCTGAAAAAGGTTCTTCCCGATCTCATCAGCTGTGATCAAACTGGCTTTATGAAAGGCAGGTTTATTGGCGAGAACATACGATTAATAGACTATGTTATTCGTTTTACCAAAGAAAAAAATATCCCAGGGCTATTATTATTTCTTGATTTCGAAAAGGCTTTTGACACGATTGAATGGCCTTTTATCATAAATTCTCTTCAATACTTCGGTTTCGGCCCAAGTGTTGTAAACTGGGTCAAATGCCTTTACAGCAACATAGAGAGCTGCTTCTTAAACAACGGCTGGACAAGCAATTTCTTTAAAATTGAAAGAGGGGTCAGGCAGGGGTGCCCGTTGTCTCCATATCTATTTGTTCTTTCAGTTGAAGTCTTAGCCAAGGCTTTTAAAAGAAACAGCAATATCAGAGGAATACACGTTAACCAAGAGGAAATTAAAATAAGTCAATACGCAGACGATACAACCTTAATATTAAATGGTTCACAAACGTCGCTCTCAGCTGCTCTCAACACACTCGACGATTTTGGAGAAGCCTCGGGTCTCAAACTCAACAGTAAAAAAAACAGAAGCAATTTGGATCGGAACATATAGTGGAAAAACAGAAATTCTTCTTCCAGAAAGAAATTTCAGATGGCAAACAAACAAAGTAAAATCTTTAGGCGTTTGGTTTACGACAGACCCTGAAAACACTGTACTTCTAAATTATAAGGAAAAACTGGAAAAAATTAACAATATTCTAAGCAACTGGAAATACCGTAGATTAACCTTAAGTGGGAAGATCACTGTTCTGAAAAGCTTAGTAGCTTCTCAAATTGTGTACGTCTTGGCACCCTTGTGCACAAAAAAAAAAAATAATTAGCGAGATTAACAAGCTCTTTTACTTGTTCCTTTGGAACGGAAAGGGCGATAAAATAAAGCGAGATATTATGATTAACAATTACCCAGCAGGTGGCCTCAAAATGATTGACATACTATCTTTCAATAAAGCGCTAAAAACCACTTGGATAAAAAAGTACCTGGATACAGATAATCAGGGTAAATGGAAACTTTTTCTAGATCTTGAACTGAAAAAGTTTGAGTGTACCCTACCTTTCACAAGCAACCTTAATAAGATAGACATAGCTAATATCTTCAAAAACGCAAGACAGTTTCTTAAAGGAAATTCTCCTAATCTGGTCAGAAATCAATTTTGAAGAGAGGATAACATCAGAGAGCCAGCTTTCAGAACAAGGCATATGGTACAACTCACTTGTAAGGATTAACGACAGCCCTATTTTCTTTAAAGAATGGTATCGTAAAGGCATCACAAAAGTTAAGCACTTAAGGAACAGAGAAGGAAAATTCCTCACTCCACCAGAACTTTTAAACAAATACGACATCAAGGTCCAACCCTTGGCATACTGTGGAATAATTTCTGCTC